CCATTAGATTAACTCTATAACTGCCTAACATTTAGCTGAGGAATTGGGGGCTGGAGAGATGGCTCCACAGTTAAGAGCGCTGGCTGCTCTTGCAGAGGACCTAGCTCAATTCCCAGCACCCACGTGGCAGCTCACAACCATCCGTAACTCCAGTAGGATCAGACATCCTCTTTTGGCCACCATAGGCAGTGCACATACATGGTGTACTTACATTCATGTAAAACCTGCGCAGAAAAATAAATATTTGAATTTGGACAGAAATTCCAACGTGACTGGGTTTTCCATTGGACTGGAATCCCACCCTTTAGTCTGTCTGTGGTTGCTGTCCTGTCTTCCTAACACACGACCTACATTTTCTTTTACGGCTTTCAGTCTTGGTTTAATATCCACAGTGTACCCCAGAATTCCCCCGGTCTGGCTCGCCTTCCCTTCTCTAGAGTGAGTTTTTTGTTTAGGAAAGAAAAAGAACTTAGATGATGCAAAGCAAAACAAGGCTGTTACTTCTAGAAGCTTCCCGGTCAGAGCCATGTGACCCTCCACTCGGCCTGAGCAGATTCTGTGTGACCAGGTCTGTACTGCATTCAGTCTTCCGTGTTAATGCCTCACCATCCTCGCTCTGCTCATCACGAAAGTCGGACCTGAAGGAAGCTGTTTATGGCCTTCCTGTGTGAAAGCTTTGTCTCAGGCTAGCAGAAGAGCAATTCTGTTCACCCGGCAATGTCACTGATGAGATTACTGTCACCAATGAAATCTAGCCCTGGACAAACCAGGTTGTGGAGATTCAAAATTCTGCCCAAGGGAAACCTGTTCATTGTGTTATTGGTTGAAAAATCAAGAGGATTGGGGAAAAATTACGCCCCCCTTGGAATTTCGTTTCCCTCCTATAATGTTGCTATAACAATTCAGCATCCGTCTCCTCTCCCCTCCAGTCTAACTGTACGCGTTGGGGTCTTGAAGCTCTCCCACTCCCCTCAGGAAATGAGAATTGCTTTTTGTCAAGAGTTTTTCAGCTGGGTGTCGTGGCGCTCCTTTAATCCGGCACTCAGGAGGCAGAGGCAGGTGGTTCTCTGTGAGGCTGAAGGCCAGCCTGGTCTACATAGTGAATTCTAGGCCAGCTGGGCCTACATAGTGAGACCCTGTATCAAAAAGGTAAAAACAAAACCAAAATTTTTCAACTGGGACATGTTTGAGGTTGAAGAACTGCTTCTTGTCCAAGACACATCCTAAATGACACTGCACATAAATTAAGAGCAAGTAAGAATTTTGTTATATCAGAAAACTATTCCTGTGCTTTAACACGAAGGAGCGCATCAGTGTTATGTTCCCAAGTACAGTGTCCGCAACAGTGCTTGATTAAGTTGCAATACCCTGATTTACAAGGAAGGAAAATCTGTAGAGCAAACTGTGAGAGCCAAAACACTGAGTTGTGCTCCAAGTGTAATCTCCGTCTCTGATGATGAACTGGTTACTCTAGTGAGAATTTTATTTTCTGGAAGGATAGATATTTCAATGGTGCTTCTGGAGTAAACAAAATGAGTCTAAATCAAAAAGGATTCCAGGTCTGGTGAGATGTCTGACAGGATAGAGGTGCTTACAGCCAAGTCTAGTGGCCTTAGTTCAATCCCCATGACCCAGGTTGGTGGAAGAAAGGAAGCAACTCTTGCAAGTTGTCCTTTTACCTCCACATGTGTGCCAAGGCACATACGTGCACGCACGCGCGCGCGCGCACACACACACACACACACACAAAGTAAAAAAAAAAAAATCTATATTTTTTAAAAATACAACAAAGGAATTTTTATTAATGAATTAGAAAATACTTGTAAAGATCAGGTTGAGGGCTGGAGATGTAGCTCAGTCGGTAGCACGCTTGCCTACCAGGGATGACACCCTGGATACAAGCCCCAGTACCACATAAACCAGGCATGGTGCCATAAACCTGTAATCCCAGAACTCAGAGGGGAGGTAGGAGGATCAGAAGTTCAAGGTCATCTTCAGCCTCCTATCCAGTTAGAAGCCAACCTGGGCTACATGATGTGGTATCTCAAAAATACATAAATGCATACATAAATAAAATATAAACAAAAAGCAAATAAATACCTTAAAAAAGCTATTCATTCACTTACTCTGTTCACTAATTTAGGCTTTTGTTTTTTTAGGTCACACGATGTAGTCCAAGCTGGCCTTGAGCTCTTTGTAGTTCAGGCTAACCTTACACTCCTTATCCCCCTGCCTACACAGCATATTCCCCATGCCCTGTGAGGTTCAAGTATCCCTCAACTACTGGCCTTATCCTTGAGATTAGGGGAGGATAAACCAGTGTTGAAAAATATATTCATGACACATTAAATAATATGTATGTGATGTGTGCAGGTGTGTGCTCAGCAGAGCGTGTGTCCACTCACGTGGAGGTCAGAGGAGGATGTCAGGTGCGTTTCTCTAGCGTTCTGCTCCTTATTCTGTTGAGACAGCGTCCCTCGCTGAACCTAGAGTTTGTTTTTAGGCTAGACTGGCAGCTGGTAAGCCCCAGGATCCTCCTGTTTCCCATACACCAGCAGCAGCAGCATGGGGTAACCAGTGTGTGTGGCCTGTTTGTGGGGTGCTGGAACTCCAGACTGAGGTGCTCATGTTCTCTCAGCAAGCACACTTAACACTGGACTGTGGGCCGAACCCAGCCCTGAATAATTTATCCTTCAAAGAGAAGTGAGTGACTATGGAGTGCGCAGGGATCCCGGGGCGCCAGGCGCCGTCCCGTGCGCGCACCTGGAAGGCGGCGGGTCCCGCAGCAAGAGAAGTGAGTGACTATGGAGTGCGCAGGGATCCCGGGGCGCCAGGCGCCGGTCCCGTGCGCGCACCTGGAAGGTGGCGGGTCCCACAGCACATCTGCTCTGTGTTGCTGGCGGGCCCCTGCTTCTCCACTGTGGGTCCCTCTGCTACCCGGGCTGGCCCGGTCGAGTTCCGCCCTAATTTCACCCGTGCATTTCCTCGAGATGTGAAATCCACTGGCCGCTGGATCACGCGGGAAGGTGCGGGGTGGAAGGATAGCGCGCCCCCGGGGAGACTGGATTGTAGGCAGTGAGACACAGGACTCAGCTCTGATCTCAGTGATACAGCTACTTTATTCTCCTGACTCTGCTTGGCTCCAAGTCTTGGTGATCCAGCTCCAATTATTATTTATACTGAGGGGGTAGTGGTGAAAACCTTAGCTGATAGGTACTTTGTGGGTTCCCTTATTTACATGTAGAGGTGGGCTCCTGCCAGGCTGCCAGGCTGTCTGAAAATCACACAGGAAAGGCTGGCAGTTTCCAGAGCTGGAGGCCATGTTTCTGTGATGGCTGCTTCAAAAGATGAGTCAGGAAGATGCCAGGAAAGCACCCTGCTGAAAAAGGAGTCTCTGCATTTGAATCCGCGCCCGTGAGCTTTCCAGACATGGAGAAACTGCTACTTTACACAACAGGGGTCCCCAACAAGTGACAGTTGCTAAGGTCCTTTTTTTACATTTTTTTTAAAAAAGTTATTTATTTAATAACCACATACTTAGAAGAAGCATTTCATTACAACAGCATTGACATATTCAATAACAATTTCCAGGGCTAAGATGCATGTCTTTCAAAACTGGCTGTAAAATTTTAGGTTTACAGTTGAATTAATACAGTTATACAATATTGTACTCAGTATAA